ATTTGGCTACCAATCCACCTTCAGGTAGAAATGTATTTTACAATGTAGTTCTTATTCTTCAAATCATCGTAAATCTTGTAAGTTGTTATCATTTTCTTGTATACGCCTAGCCGGTATATACTGCATTCATTTTAACCATGCTACAGTTTTACAATTTGGCATTAGTTTGCAACTGTTCATTCTCTTTTTTCTTCTTGACCCCTCTCTCACCTAAACTGATAATCATCACACATAAGTCACATGGGGTGGACGATAATGATCAAAGAACTTTGAAAGAATCTGGAATGTGTTATGGGCATTTACACTAGGAAATACATTTGGTTCACATTAGGAAATTCATACAAAATCTTTGTAAAGAAAAATAAGGTCTAAGGCCAAATAAATAAAAAAACATGTTTAGCTTCCTGTTTTTTTGAAAAATAGGAAGGAGGAGGCCCTTTTTTTTCTTCTTTCTTTCAATGAAATAATAAAATGACCGCTCTATACATTTTTCCGGACAGTCTGGCTATTTTTCAAGATGGCCGCCGGTATTTTTTTTAATTTTTTTTTTTTAAATCAGAAATAGATCCTTTTAGCAGTATGTTTTTCATGTTTTAATTCATTGAAGAAAAAAAAAAAAAAAAAAAAAAAAAAAAATAGGAGCCCCCAAAAAGGAAGCGGGAGGCGACGCTAAACATATATATTTTTTTACTTGGCCTAAACTTAAAGAATTATGGATAGTGGAAATTTAGCTTACCGATACACATGGGATGCATGATGCAATTGTCGAATAAAATAGCATGCAATAAGGAAATGATGTCTTGGAAATGATGTCTTGGAGATGGCTGCTTATACCATATCTTTTGTTTCAGTTTACATCATCCATGGGCATTGCTCGATGGGATGAAAGAACAGCTAACATTGTTCATATCCGGGTGCCATCAGGCTCAGGATATGCCGTGTACTAAGAGTGCGTTTATGCTCAATTTTGAAGGCAGAATGAGCGATTTGAAATGCTCATCGTAAACGCTCATCGTAATTGCAGTTCCATGGTGTACTGTTTATGCTCACTTCTCTGGCTCTGCAGCTGGATTTGCAAACCTGCACTGTGCATTCGGACCCCATTTAAACGCGTTTACAAATGATTGTGCGTTTATGCTTCCCCCAAATCGCCGATCCAAAACGCTCTTTTTTGTGAGTTTACGATTCGGCGATTATGATCACCGTTTTTCAGTGATTCTACAAAAATGAGAAAGGACGCAACCGTGTTTTGAACTAAAGCATAACAAATGCCTCATTCTGGCCAGAAAAAGTTGAGCATAAACGTACCCCTAATATTGCTAGTCTGAATGGGGGGGGGGGGGGGGAAAAGAGGTGTCAGCCATGAACTTGGCTTTTGATTTGTGTGCTCAGACAGCTGCAGTAGAGTGGAATGGACAAACAAGATTCATCTCTACAAATCACAAGGAAGATGGGTACTAAAGGGCAAAAGAATGGAAGAGATTTAGACTTATACCCAGCTTTAATTCTTCAAGATTGGATGTCAAAAATACAAATAGGGCCTATAATATCCATCTGCAAAGAAGAAAATACCGGTAAGTCTGAATCAAAGCTATAGTACAGGCAATATATACAGCAGACTTGGCCTCAAATTTTGAGTTTTGTTTAAATGAAACCTTTTCGGGAAGAACTCTGTACATCTTAATGAAAGGCTACGATGATACACATGTAGATTATCCTTCTGACATGACCTAGTTCGTTTCTGGTGGAGCTTGTGCATATGTTGTTACATTTTACATTAAACATGTAGGTAATACATACCAAATTGGAAAATCTGACCTGAAAATGCCTTTCTACAAAGCTAAACTATGGATTCTCATCGGTCAGTACTATTACTAAAAAAAATTGTAAATTGTTATGCACTGACAAATCGTGACAGTTTAAAATAAAATAATATATTCAAATTGACTACACCTACATGTAGGCTAATGTTCATGCAGTGAAGAGATTTCAAGTTGTGAAGAGGTTTTAAATTCGTATGAACGCATTCTGTGCACCCATGCTATTACTCTTGCTGAGATTCAAATGACTGGAATGAAATTTAGTGAGAAGTTCACCTGCGTAGCACAGTTTGACGTTTCATGTCTCATTCGCTCCACTTGATTCTTGAAGCCCTAATTCCTCTAGAGCTACAGCCTTCCTGCTGCTATGTTCCACATGTCATTAACACTCATAAGATGACATCTTATTGCTGCATTTGATCTTCTTTATAATGTTTTTTTTGTTTTTCATTTTTCCCCATCAATACTTTGTCCTATTACGTTGCTTGAGAATTAATGAAGGAGCTGCGCTCTTGACTCCACTTCTAATTACGATAGTCTAATGTCCTCGAAAAGAAAATGATTCAGAGCAAAATTACACCTAGAGAGAATCTGATGAACGTATCTTCTCAGTCAAATATCTTTTTTGTTTCTTCATCTTTGAAAGAATGTTTCATTATCGGTACTTTAATCAGGTAGGTCATATTCATGGACATTTCACATAAATATTCAGAGTACCCACCTCATCCCATTTTTGTCTATCATACATTGAATGAGTTTGAGACAGAACATACACCATGTACATGTTCATGTAGCAAGAAGGAGTGGGAACGAAGGAGACATTAATAAAGAACTCTGCAGTCACTGAGTAAACAGATGCCTTAAGATAGTCACATCAATTACAGCAAGATATGAATTCAATTTCCTACACCTGAGACGATAGTATGTCCATCTCTAGTTTTATCTCATGGTTCTTACCCCACCCTCACCGTACTCACACCCAATAAGATAATCAATAACTAAAGAAAGCATAGCCCTGTCTCCCTCCTAGCTATTTTCTCAATCTAGAGGCAGTGAAATGTATTTTAGGCAGTAAAATAAGCCTCTTTGAACGTCATTCCTATGAAAAGTAGACATCATTCTCTTATCTTGTTTCTCAGAGCATAAAGTAAAGTTCCGAAATTAATCTGCGATAGCTACAGGGACAGGGACCGGATTCAAGTAACACTGAATAATTCAGAGAAGTCCGCTCGTATTGATTTTAATTAGAGGGATCTTTGTGTTTCATCCTCTGCAATATATGGATGTTTGTGAACTTGAGGCAGTGCCTGTGGACGAGTTATCAACTTGATATTGTGGAAAGCTGAAGGAAGAAGACGGATACCTGAAGCTTCAAGTCTTGGATTTTCTTGTCTCACTCTTGTTCCAATTTTTGTTTTCACTATTGACTTCCTTCCCAACACTATGTAATATAAAAGGATCAGCACAATCAATCAGATGACTACCAACATGTACATGTATTTGTGGTCTACTTTGAGACTAACATAATAATTTTCTGCATCAGATTTGGTTCACAATTCTACAAATGATCTAGGGCTGCACACTTGAATTCATTATAACCATAATTCATGAATTCATAAGGTACATGTACCCGTCGTACATACTTTCTCTGCTAAAACAATTTGGCCTAAAATGTATCTTAGAACTTCACAGCATTGCTTGCAGTGGGGCAAACTGTACCCAATTCAACTTCTTTCAAAAAGTATTTACTACCATAACTTCTTTACATTTAATGATTTGTAAGAACTGGTCTAAAAACTTAATGGTGGAGCTAAATAAAACATTCATACATGTACATGAAAGTCCTATGCAGTGTACTACCAAAACATGAACTACCGGTACATGTACAACACAAAGAGTGGTTCTAATGATTTCTCATAAACTTTCAGTAAATTAATCTTTTCTCCCAACACAAGCAAAGGTCCATAAAAACCAATGGGCAAGATTTATGTTTATCAAAATAACAAGTAAATGGTTTAATATTCCCAATTTCTAAAGTGATGTACAAGTATATACATTGTACATCCTCAAATAAATCAAATATAATTGCTAATGGATTCCTTCTAGGCAGAAAACAGTCTTGAATCATAAATTAATATATTCACCCCCCCCCCCTCTCTCTCTCTCTCTCTCTCTCTCCCTCCATCAAGAAAGAACACATTTCCAAACGTGACCCCACAGCACTGGACACTGTCACATCCATTTTACTGCCTGACTTGGTTTCTTTGTGGAGTACTGGATAAATAAACGATGGTTTCTTGCCTAGCATACCTGACCTTCTTATTCTAGTGAGTCAGACATGAGTTCAAGTCCAGGTTAGGATGTTAAATCAAGGCATTGTATCGAAAATCTGAATGAATAAAATCACAACTAGTTTCTACTTGAATCTAAATTTCCTCTCTGAAATATGTTTGAAGAAACAAGGCCTTGGTTCTGAAAGAATTAACTAACTGTTAACATAATTCACATCCTCTGTTTTAGCAAAGATTGAGAAATTAAAAGCTACTTAACAAATCAATTTTTTTGAAGAGGACAATTTAGAACACCTTCTAAGTAACAATTTCTTTGTTGACATTTATGTAATATTCAATTGCTTCATGAATTTAATCATGAGCTCAGAATTTAAAGAGATGCAGGGAAAAAAATAAGCTTATAAAGTTAGCACATAATCATTGAGAAGGTCTTCTTCGTGTTATTAATGTTTAATGATTACTCTTTGACAAGTTCATTTATTTCTGACTAAACTTGCCAAATGAAACTGGACAAATTAAGTCATTAACCTTGTCAAACAGCTGAAAAGTTCTAACAAGACCCGGGCTACTTCAGGGTACACTATCCATAGTATCCCAACCAAATCCATCAAGAGCTGATTTTGCCGAACAGGAAGTTCAGGAACAGGCAATTATAATCCAGTTACCTAGGTATTCACCTGGGCAGACAAAGATGTTTTGTTTTCCGCCTTTTTATTAAATGTAGACCATAAATGTACCTAAATACATACATACAAGCTGTGAAATAATCAGTAATTTTCTTTTTAAACTGGTGCTAGGTCCTGGTAGTCACGTTCATTCTAGTTGATATTTCAGCCACTTCCTAACAGATTTGGGTGGCCCAGCCTGTATATTTTTAAGTTTATCACATGAAGAAATGGAAGTCTTAGACACATTGTATCCAGTGGAAACTAGAAAGGGCATCATATGTAAATTGCAAATAATTGTTATTATGGAGATGAAAGGAGACATTTAAGGACAGGATTGGGATTGTAAAGAGTATACTTACATGTGACATTGACGTTGGCTGGATCACTAGACATTGGGGCTTCAGCAGTAGAGCTTGGTTCCACCACACATCTGTACTGCCCCGCATCCTCCCTCGATACATCACCGATCTTGAGACTGTTACTGGTATCCATGAAGATCCGAGATGAATCCTCGACAGGGACATTGTTGAGGTCCAAGAGAAGGCCACATTCTCAGCCTGGTCTACTTCGCAGGATAAGATGATACTGGTTCCTTCCGGTATCGTCATACTCATTGGCTGGACTGTGAATACCAGGGCTTCACAACTCCATAGCACACATACAACTAATGGGAAGACAGAAAACAAGAAAAATGCACATTTTCAGCAAATGAAGGCTTAGACCAGTCATAGCGTAAGTACATTACAATTTACAACAACAATGAACATACATTTAAGATTTTGGCCTGCTGCGAATATCACCTACTAGAGGCAATTTCTCCAAAAACAGTTGATTCTGATTCCTATGGATGTTATGTATACATCATCGTACTTAACAGAATATTGGGACATATTTCTGTTTGTTTGATATGTTTTAACTTTTAAATCAAATTTAGATTTACAAAAACCATACACTCATGATAATTACATGTAGTTGATTTTAAACATTGCAACCCACTGACAAAATATATAATGAACATTTGACACATTTATCAATTTACAGTGGCGTTTGGGTACATGCGTACATATAAGTAGGCCTATAGCTTTGTGGAGCATTTCATTATCATGGCTACACTATTACTCCCAGTTACTGTGCATGTAACCCAATCTTATTGGCCACGCACAAACCATCTATTCTGACCCACGCTTTTATCTCTACAAGATGTATACAAAGAAGCACTCAGCTCCTTGTAAGTCAATATAAAGAATGAGTGATGACCAGTCCAAATAGTTTATCTCCTGACAGATAGTGTCTTTGTCTTTGTGACTTTGTCTCTTTGTCTTTGTCCTCTGACCAACTTGATTATATCTTTACGATTAAGGGAGCAAAACCATAAATGCTAAACTCTAATCTAGGCTGTTTTTTTTTTTCTTTCTATGGAAGACATGACAGTACATGTAAGCCGTGTAAAGATACATGTATGTACAAATAGGAGTGAAGACAAAAACAGCAGATTACATTTACATCAAAATCTAAAGCCAGCTATTAACTAACATGTTTTATGCACTCAATTTGTGCATGAACATCTATACATGTAGCTGTTGGAAAGCTGTGACTGCTTACAAAAATGAATAAACAAAGAATTCAACATTTAACATCTAAATGTATGAAAATTGATTAAACTGAATTTAATCCATTTTTTTTTTTTGGGGGGGGGGGGGGAGGGGGATCTTTTGATTAAACTACTTGTTGTCATTGCTGCAATCCCATCTATGAATATGCGGACATGAGGAATACCATCTTGCAAGAAGGCCTACACATTTAAACACAGTTGAAAAAATGTTGTATTTTACACCATAACAATTTTTTGTTTCCATAATCAACTGTCTGTTTATTTTTAACTTTTTAAAAGATATCTCTTTCATATGTCATGATGAATTGGCTTTGTGTATTTAGCAATTTGTTTTACTAAGGTATTTTACAGGATAGCAAAATTTGGCATTTGATGACTAGAGGATCAACTCTTCCAAATTGGTCAGGGTTTTAAACCAAGATGAAAAAAACAAAATGTTTGTATGAATACTGGTTTTGTATCTTTTGACTCTCACTCCTTGAGCTTTAATTGTAAATCTACTGTAGTATCATTACTTTTCACTTTCTCTGATTTCTGCCTTCTTTATTCAACTACAGCATATCATTAAATGTATTAACTGTATCAAATCCAACTTATCAATCCGTTTCTGTATCTCCTTTTCTTCCACCCCCCCCCCCCCCCCCCTTTTGTCCTTCCTTCCATCTCTCTCTCTCTCTCTCTCTCTCTCTCTCTTTCCTATTGTACTTTACAATCTAGCAATTCAGAACAAAATAGAAAGAGTGAAATCCCATTTGTACAATCCTAAGCCTACAGACAGAGCGGCAGTCTGTGAATAGAGGGTACAAAGGTCACAAAAGAGGCAAACCACAGAGCCTCAATCAGGTGAACAATAGGACATACTACACCCCCACAATACACCCATACCCAACCATTCCAGCTAGCTTCCAACAATACACGAGAGGTAATATGTGCCACAGAAAGGCCAATCTATGAGAAACATTGTCCTTTGTATAACATAAGTAACTGGCTACTGCAACAGAGACAGCAGCCATGTAAGACGAAGAGAGAGAGGAAGAGGCAAGCAACACCTCTTTTTTCATCTAGTTTTCAGCAGTACTGGACAGTACATTGTAAACCATGTTGGTCAACCTACGAGTGGTTCTGCTTGACCATTTATCTACAGTGCTCTTTGTCAAACTGAGCTGAGAGCCCTAAATAGGCATGGTGGATGAATGGGAAGGCAAGATGTTATTGATGACATAAGTGAGTGTTTGTGTTGCTAATCAATGCAGCTTAGAAGTCTGGCTGGCTCACCAATGACGGCTCACCAATGAAGGCGTTCCAGAAGGAATGTTTGATCAAAACAGCAGTCAAACAAAAGTCTGAAAAAAGTGCAAATGGTCTGCAAGAGTTTGATCAAAACATTCAAGGAATATAATAAGGACATTAAAGGGGAGGTCCACTCTGATATTATGTTGGTTTTAAATAATAGAAGCAGAAAATGGGAGTAATGGGTCAGTTAAAGTTTTAGCAAATTCTGATCAAAAATAAGAGAGTTTTGAGGTTGCAATCAATCAAATAACAAGGGAAACGCTCTCGGCGGTCTCGCCTGCATAACGCAATTCACTATGATAAACCAGAACGTCAATGACGTAGCGCTCATCCGCATCTCACAACAACAAATATCGTAAATTTTATGTGGTACACTTTTGAACTGGTCAAAAAATAGAAATTTGATGCCCTGGAAGGAACATAATTTCATTTCATTTGCATACAGCCAAAAAAATACACGGGGGCGGAGGGCAGATTCGCCCTGGAAACACCATAAACAGCCCCCGAAATAGGCTCAAAATCCGATTTCGGGGGCGACATCAAAAAGTGAAATGATCTCAAATCGCCCCCGTAACGATTACGAGCGGCCGCGCGCTCTCTTCTAGCATCGTATTCATTGTGTGCGCTGAATCTCCGTGTAAAATTGTACACAAAAATCAGTCGTAAAAAAACTCGAATCATATTCCATACCTTACCTGGCTTACCATGTCGTACGCAAGTACGCCAAAACAGGTACATTTTCGCAGTTGCGAGGGATCGAGACGGAGCGTAGGGGTCGAGTTTTTGGTGGTCGATTTTGTTTTGGTAGATTAATATTATTAGCGGAACCTAGACCACTAAACATCGCTAAAACTGCAATCAATTTCCATCACGAATTCACGATTGCCGCTATTTTATAAAGTTTCATTAATAGAGGTATGAAATTAAATCCTATTTTGTGATTATTCTCGCCATGTTTTCGTAATTTTGATAATCATTTCTTCAAAGTAAAGAAAACGCAGACAAAATCACCGTGACTGACACGCATACAATACAGTGCATTGCCGCTGTGCGGTGCGTGTGAGTTGATTTGAGCTGAGCTAGCTCGCTAGTAACTCCGGGAAGCTCCAACACCGGCGCGGCCGCTGCGGCTGCGGCGGCGGTGTTTCATGGAGCTTCCCGGAGCTGAGTTAGCTCACTAGCTGAGCTCGAGTCGAAAAGATTTGACACTTTGGAATTGTTATCTGTTGGTTTGCATCATTATTGCCGCGATTTCAATATAGTTACGTGAATAGATGTACGAAACCTGAGCTTAGAATTAGTAAAAGTATTACTAATGTCTACGTTTTTAAACGACTGTCTGATTTTCTTGTGAAAATTTTATTTTGAAAAATGGTTATCGAAATACATGGCCAGAAATAATCACAATCTGGGGTCTATTATGTTACAGTTCTTGCATCAAATCAATGCATGAAAACTTAGTTATTGAACTAGAAAAAGGGGTTTCTTTTTTAATAGGCAATTATGAAGCAGGAAGCCCGAAACCTTAGCCTACTAAACAAATCTTAACAAACTGTAGACCTATCCTTTTATGAATTAATGAAAAAGTAGCCCCAGAAAGAGAGCCCCCGAAATGGAAAAAAGAGCCCCCGAAAAGTGAAAAAGTAGCCCCCGAAAATTTCCCAAAAATTTGAAATGGAGCCCCCGAAATGAAAAACTTAATTTTTTTGCCTGTTTGCATAAAGTACCATAAATAATCAATGGAGCAAAATCTCACAATTCTGTGTAGAAGTTTATTGTTCCAAATTTAGCTCTACCAGATAAGGCAAAATCGGTCAAGAAATGAGGGAAAAGAAGCAATTTTTGTTATTTTTGGAATAAATTTGCATAAATTACCATAATTAATTAATGAAGAACAATTTCAAAATTCTGTGTAGAAGTTTAGTGTACCAAAGTTAGCTCTACGATATAAAGCAAACCAAATCAAAATCGGTCGAGAAATGAAGAAGAAGCCTTTTTTGTGATTTCGAATAAATTTGCATAAATTAGCATAGATAATGAATTTCACGATTCTGTGTAGAAATTTTTAAATCCCCTCCTAGCCCTATCATATGAAACAATCAGAATCAAAATCGGTTGAAAAATAACAAAGAAGAAGCATTTTGAAAATTTTAATGTTGATGTCACAACAAAGTCTAAGTTTGTTGGCCTTAAATGGCCTTTGAAGTTTGACCTTAACTTAGTGACCTGAAATTCTACTCACATGATTGGGGAGACTTGATAACCCTATAGTCCAAGTTTCATTGACTAAGAACTTATACTTTCAAAATTATATCAAAAATTAAAAAACTTAACCTTAGGTTAAGTTTTTGATGTTGACGCCGTCGCCGTCGCCGCCCCCGCCGCCGCACCGGAAAAGCCGCCTATGTCTCGCTTTTTGCTATGCAGGCGAGACAAAAATTGGCAGCGCTTCAGCATAGCTCGCAAGTTCTGTACAGAAAACTTTATTAACTTACATTTTTTGCATCATTGCATAGATTTTTACCATACAAGGGTTGTATAGAAATATATTTGCAATAATCATATTTAGGGTACATGCATGATTGTAAATTTTCTTAAAGGAAAAATCAGAAATTTTAGATTTTTCAGTAGAGAGCAAATGGGAGAGGAGCTTGCAGGATACGTCGCAGAGTTAATATGTTCGATTGGGAATGGAACACCTTCCAAATCATCTATCAGTCTACAGACTCGTCAACCATGGCTCATTTTAATCAAGATCTTGGTTTTTTCTTTTTTTAAGCAACGACAGAAATTTCACCTAGTTTTGTTACTTGTAAATGTACATACTCAAAACATCGATGAATGATTCCAGTTTTTGACTTTCCTTACTTCCACGCAATCGCATGCAGAGCAGTGACAAGTTGCGCATACACAGAGCTGCCAACCTTGTGCGACCAAAAAAAGGAATTCATAAAAAAACGAAACTTACAACCACGCGCGACACACTTCCAATGCAGAAATGTTCATTCCTCATGCTGTTTTTTTCTATACAAGCAGGTTTTGTTTTGTTTTGGTTATTTTGGTATTATCGGCATTTCATTCTTTTTGAGAATATTTTTCTCTTCAAGTATGCTTTAAAATTTGTTTTCTATCGAATTTGTGGTCAAATCACCATTTTAGGGCAGTTGTAAGACGTGTGGTATGTAAAAAAAAAAAAAAAAAAAAAAAAAAAATTATAAAAAAAAAAAAAAAATTATAAAAAACGTATTTTATGAAGACAAAACGTAATACTGTAATTTGGAGGAAAAAACGGAGTAATTCCGGCAAAAACGGAATGGTTGGCAGCTCTGCATACACCCACACACTAAAAAAATGAATGTGCAAACACAGACCCGTTTTTGATGGGTTTTCCCAGTAAGGTAAATGACAGTGAAAAAAAATGTTCAAAATGGTTATGGTGGCTGTGTAAAGGGTGTAAATGGGCCTTCTCATGCACTATCACTGATTTTTGTTTTTTACCAACTATGTTTTTCACTGTCAATTGCAGGATTTATTACCACAAATTATTTCACTGGTGCCTACAGCTATACAAGCTTGCTTTCATGTAGGTCTAATCATATTTCTCTTAGTTAAATCAGTACTCCATATATTGATATTGACCATTTATCTTTGTTTTTTATTATGTATCATTGAAAAAAAAAAAATTTGCACTTTATTTGAATGTATATATGTGCATGGCTCAGATCAAGGGTACACTTAGATTGAACACTGGGAAATTGTTCAATTATCCAAAACCATGAGACCCAGACACAAATTAGCATTTTTATATTAGAAAATACCATTGGGGGAAGCTCCAAACAAGTTTCAGAAAGACACTGAGTTATGTACGTTACTACCAATCAAAATTTGAAATAAATTATCATAATGAATCAATTTATTTCTTTCAGCATGAATTGCACCCTTCTGCATTTTCATTTAAACAAACATTTATTGAATTTAAGGAACAAGAAGTTATAATTTGAATGTAAAACTACTTACTTTTGGTGTCCACAGTTATGTACGATTAAGTACAGAAATCTTACATTTCATTCCTGAAAAAGTAGTTTACAAACTATTTACACATTGCAAATTATGTTTCATTCAAGAAACACATCATTCCTTCAATTGAAGTCGTTATTAGACTAATGCAAAAACATATCTGACAATAAGGCTAAGAGAAAGCATGTAGAGAATAAGATGTACTGTACATAACTCGGTGTCCACATTTGTTTTGGCCATATTCTAATAACTAATTTGAAAAAAGTTGATATGGCAATGGTTTTAAGTTTTGTTTACGGTATTTTTTAACATCTAATGTACTTTGTCAGAAAAAAATTTAAATTAAAAGAGAAATATCGGCATGAATTGGACACCGAGTTATGTACATAACATTTTTGATGATGTGATATTTGGCTACTGATTGCCGTTTAATGGCAATTTGTTAAGGTCTGATTTTTTAGCTATGTGTAGCATAATGTTTGCAGATTACAAAAATAATGTTGCCAGTCTATCATTGACTTTTGAAATTCACCTCATATGTAACACTTTTGTGCCCTTGATCAGAGCAATGCACATATGTAACATAAGAAATATGAAATAAATTAAATGAAATGATATCTACCAGTAATACAATGAATGCAACTCAGATCAGTGCTCTTAACAAAATATGTTTAAATTTGTTTAAAGCTTAAACAGCTGAATAGACATCTTTCCCAAAAATCCAGTATACAGCTTCAGCTGTTCAGGCAAGTTACACATATACTGTATATGCTGTACTGTACAAAGAGTGTTTATGGAATTTAAAAAAAAATAATAATCCAGACCCTCTTTTTAAAAAGCCAGTACAGAGCTCAGCCTTGCCAAATGCATAATGAAAGGTTGAAACTATAGTTTAGATTCCGGCAACGTTCACATACGTTGTCAAATTCTTAAAAGTGGTACTGGACTGCTGCATTTTTTTTTTGACAAATGTCTGTCAGGTGTCACACAAAAGGATCAATCTGTTCACTGATTTCATGCCAATGCAGGGAATAAATTCATATTTATTTTTCGGGTTTTTTTTTCTTCAAGCTTGCCTGCATAAAATAACACTCTAAAATTTGTATTGCATTGAACTCTATGCAAATTACGGGGGCTCTTTTGGGCATTTCGGGGGCAAATTCGCCCTGAGCCCCCAAGTATTTTTTTCACTGTGCCAATGTGCTAAGGATTGAATGGCAACATCCATCAAAGACGTTTCTTCATCATCCCTAAATCCAGAAAGGATAAGACTTTAAAATTACCATGTTTAAATTATCAAAACTTATTGATAGATCTCAAAATACAAAATATTAAAATGTGAAGGAAACATTTGTGAAAATATTTAAAGTAATATATACTTGGTCAAAAGAGGATAAATAGTCCATTAAGTTCCTATATGTTGTGATAGTTTGCAATTTTAAATGCAAGGCCCACAACCCCCCCCCCCCCCCCCCCCCCCCCCCCCCCCCATCCACACTGTGGTCCACAATGTCCCCTAATTCCAAATCACCTCATTGACATTGCCTCCTATTTCATACATGATATATTTTTCTCTCATCCACTCATTGCAATATCAGGAATAATATAAGGATAATAAATACAGGCATTTAAAATTTAATTTCAGGTCAAATTAATTCAAACGGTCATAGATATGAGACTCCCCGTCGAGCATACAACTTCACAAGAGCTCGGCTTAATACAACTCAACGTAACTCTAAACCGAGGCAAGCCTTGTCTGCTGGACTGGCATTTTGCTCACGTCCGTGCAGTAAGCCACTTCCTTCTACTGGTCCAACCAGAAATACTCACCCAGTAAACACTGGAATAGAAACGTCCCCATTGTTGGATTTATTCGATCCGTGTATGGCACCACATCAAGGTATCTAAAAAAAAGTACTTCGTAATATTCCGGAAAAGTTCCACGAAATATATCACAGCATGACTGAAAATTCAGGCCGGTGAAGAGCGTCGAGTGAAGTGAAAATCACGCAAATCGCTATCCTGGGTACGTACGCGTATGGCAAGCCCGAGCTAGCAAGCTAGAAATGTACGATGCGGTACTTCGGTACGGTAGTTGGGTACTTGCAGGTGAATTTCCAAGCGGGGTGCGCTCAACGAACTCAAACCAAGCGCTGCTCCCTTCATGCACCTGCTGAGGGCACTGATCTTTTTTCGTACATCACTGTTTGAATCCAACTAAGAATACAACGCGGCTCTATACACTCTGTGTTTACGTGCAATGGGATATATTTCACTGTTCAGACTATACAGCATATACGAAATCTACGCTTTATGGCGCAAGCTTTATACAAAGCTGGCGCTATACCATTACGATTCGGCTGTCGTGATGGGTTTGATTGCTTCAACTGGGAGTCAATAAGACTCGCTCACATTTCAATGATTTTTTCTTTCGGGGAGGGGGTTATTATGTATGACATTGCTATATAATCAGGAAGGAACATTTTATTTTGCCCCCCCCCCCCACACACACAAAATAATGAATTAAATTCAATATGTTGAAAACAAATAATTTTTTCTTTTCTTTTGAAAGATACTTTATTGCTCATTCAATGTACAAAAAAATAATAATAAAAGAATGATAATATATATATAATCTAACAGAATATTACAAATTATTGAAGTTACATATGAAATATATGATAACAAATCACACTTTTCCATGCTTACATTTCGTTATCAAATCATTACAAATGCATAACAAAGCATATACGTTTAATTACTAATTATCACAGAAACATACAGTTGGAAGTTATTACTAATGAATAATATTTCAAAAAAGCTTTTAGAATTTAGTTCCAGATTTTCGGGGCAGATGTACACTCAAGGTGATCACGCCCTCCAAAGGAGGATTTGATTTGATTTGATTTGATTCGGTTTTTTGCAATAAAAAAAACATGCAGCTGGGAAGCTGAAATTATTCAATTTACAAAGTCAATATACAACACAATAAACGATCAAAAAATGAATGACTAAAATGTATGATGTATATAAAGATTTGAGTTGGTCTAGTACTGGTAATGTCTTTATTGAATGGTTTATTAAAACTACTGAAAATAGCAGCCCGAAAGCTAAATTACATTCAGTTTACAATAAAATCACATTAAATAGGTTTATAGCAATATCAAAATGACTCAGTAACATTGTTGAAGGTTGGTGAAAAAAATGTAATTTTTGTATGTAATGTTACTTACTATATACATTCTACTGTATAAACCTTCTAACATGCAAAGTATCCTGAACAAATTCTCAAACGACAACGATATTTATGGTTTTCTTTGAAGGCTTCACAGTGCAACTAACTCTAACAGTAAATTTTCCAATTCATTTTTTTTTCAACCGTTTTTTCCATGAAAATAAGGCATAAGACAGGCTTTTTAAAATCTTTCAACGCTTACAATAATGTCTGGAATGACGAATGGTATATAGAGCCAATTCATTGCTTTGTGACGATTTACAAAATGTAATTAAACTGCATTAATATACACTGTTGGTCATAATGGTGGAATAATTATTTTTACCCCAATTTATTGAATGATTTTGACAATGATTTATTCCTAATAGATCTAGATAACAGTATACATTCTCAGATTTTATTGAATGACAATTGGGGAGTGTTTGTTTTGCGAGACTGCTAAAGCATGTGTGTGCTACTATGCTAATCAACTAGGAGACCTTTGTCCTTCAGTCATAATTGACAGTAATGGGAATTAATGCCTCATAAAAGGGCACTAATATAGCACATCAACACGGTTTTGATCCTGGGGGCTCACAGTAACGAGGCCATTGCTTAGAATCAAGACTGTATGCAGCGGCACTCCCCGGCTGAGTCGTTGTGATTTTTTTTGGACAAACAATATATATGTCCTCTTACCCCCCCCCCCCCCCCCCCCCCCCCGCTTATCCAGCGGTCGGCTGAGTCGTTGCGATTTTTTTTGAGACCCCCCAAAAATATATATATATATATATTTACCCCCCCCCCCCCCCGGGGAGAAATTCATGGATCCGCCCCTGTGTGCAGTTGGCATACACATTCAAGATCTAGCCATTTTCAACACTTACAATATAAATAAAATATTTGAATGAACATGGATGCAAACACGAAGCAAACTTCAAACTATATATAGACAACTCTCAAGATTATGTACAAATGGCCAACGACCTTCACGTGCCGCTTCAGTTCGATTGGAGATGACTTTGCACACAAATAACAAATACAACTATTTAAAAGGGAGATATTTCCAAGGAGTTGAGGCGGAACTTGAATGTAGGTTTCACTCAGGGGCAGATTCAGCCAGCGGCAGGGGAGGGGGCCAAATTCGTGAGGAAATATTTAGCGGCGAAATAGCCGGCCGATAATTCGCTCAGAGGGGGGGGGGGGGGGGGGGGGGGGGGGGGGGGGGGGGGGGGGGGGGGGGGGGGGGGGGGGGGGGGGGGTAGTGAGTACTTTTTTTTTTTTGGGGGGGGGGGGGCTCTTGAAAATAGTGCTGTAACATCACGGATATCTCCAATTCCGTTTAACCGCCAGTCAAAACTGGACGGTTTTCGGTTTATAACGATTTTTAAAAAAAAATTAAAAAAAAAAAAAAAAAAAAAAAAAAAAAAAAAAAAAAAAATCGTTTTTTTTTTTTTTTTTTTTTTTTTTACCGACTCGACTCTGTCGGCAACTTTCATTTAACTGCGAGGTGCATTTAAAGGGGCCAATTTGTGCTTGTGAACTTGTCACAAATAATAGTAACAATGTTTTTTTTAGAAGAATGTGTAAGATCATTAATGTAAATTCAAAACAGTAGAGGACCTAGGATAGAACCTTGTGTAAAAGTTGGATGAATTATTATTATAAACTACATATTGAGATGATGAGATCTATTACAAAGATTACTTTCAAACCAAGATGACAGACAAATTGGAGTGTTGTTCTAGTTTTGGAGTGGTGAGTCAACACACAGATTACTGAGCTGGGAGACATTGCCAGGCATAGTGCCAGGTGGAGGGGCATAAATCGAAACTTAAAAAAAAAATAAAAAAATAAAAAAATTATTAAAAAAAAAAAAGAAAAAAAAAAATATTTAAAAAAAATTTTTAAAAAAATCGGGGAAACGAAACCGTCCAATTGAAAACGGAATCCGCCATGGGCGGTCGGATACCGGACGGTTAAACGTTTGACTACAGCACTACTTGAAAATTTGGAAAATTGCACCCCCCCCCCCCCCCCCCCCCCCCCCTTGAGCGCCAGTGGAGGGAGCCCATCTCCAAAAAAAAGTAAAATTAACGTGTTTTTACACGTTTTTTCACCCCAGGGAAGGGGTTTCGCCACTGGTTTCACTAGACGAATAAAAAAAATAGTCCTGTGTTTTTTAGCACTTGGATGACGTTCTTGTCATGACATGGTCACTAAGGTCGCCATCTTTCGCAATGCTCACTGATGCAGATCTGAAAAAAGATCAAGAATATACAAAAAAGTTTATGTTTTTCTTTAAATGAAACTTTTTCGTTATGGATTGTATATCTTTTGTCTTAAGAAAACGTTAAAAGATTTACATCAGAGCCTAATTTACACAATCAATTCTACAAATGTATCATGCTCTCCATGAAAAATGAATTTGCTTGTGTCCATTAGTGGTAAAGTCTATAGAGAGTACAGTGCAATCTCCAATGGAATTGTCATTTCTGATTCATAATAACTTTATGATTGAAAGTGTCCGACTCGGTTCATTTGCACATTTTCAAATGTCTCAATCACTCATTCTACAAAAGGTTTGATAATTAGGCCTATATCGCAATTTGAATACAAGGAAACTGTTTAATGAAACAAAAAAACAGTTTGTTATTTAACGTAAGATCGTGTTTTAAAATATACATGACTTGTACAAGGACAACATTCGTTATGTAATACAACATACCACTGCTTTGTATTTCTTCTAGAATAAAGTTATAGGAGTCCAGTGAGATATTCGGACTCTCCTCCATTAGATCGAGTAGTGTACCAATCGTTGCATCGTCATGGTGACGTTGACGCCACTCATACAACATGCCAAATATCGTATCCTCCATCTGTATTTTCATAAAGAAGTGAAATTCCAGAATAAAAGGGTGTATTTTAGCTGAAGTATAAAGCTGTAATTGAATTGTGTATCGTGATCAAAAGTCTAATACAATCATGTTTCCATTATCAATCTATGTTCTTGGTCTTGTTTTGTTCTATTATGTATTGTAGTATTTTAATATTTTAAAATTTGTTTATTAATACATATCATTTTAAATTTACTATGTATTGCAGGGCTCACTTGCAAATCGGTTTTATGTACTGAAGAGACTACCCGGTATTATAATGAACACAGATTAAATGAATAAATAACCCCCTATATAATAACGCAAATAAATGGTGAAGGAGAATGACTCCCAAATCGTAAGAACCAAAAATAGCAGTATTTTGTCAAATTTGACGTAAGCTAGTCGTGTTTTAAAATACAAGGGGAAAATCGTGATGTTAACATACAACCGATAGCTTGTTTTGAACATGCAATTATTTTCTGAATTAACATGCTAGAGATTCATGAAATTGTGCTGTTTTCTATGACGTATAAATGAGGATCGGTTTAATTTGACGTTGTTGGATTTGTATATTTTTATACCAATTACTCTTTGTTTTCTTATGATTCAATATATTCCAGGGATCATACAGATCAAGAAAATAACAACCCATTTTGTTCTTTACGAAACAAGTGCCGTGTTTTTGATTGTTGAAAATAAGCTATTGAATGTAGACTGTGGTGTACATTTTTGTTAGGGTGGGTTTCTTCGACTCAGTGGGCAACGACTCAGCCAGCCGCTGAATAAGCAGGGGGGGGGGGGCACTTTTTTTTTTGGTACCAAAATTTGAAAAATTGGGCCGATCGATATTTCGGGTAAGGTCGGTTTTTCTGGGTCACCCATTATAATTTTTTTTTTTTTTTTTTTTTTAATCGCAAAGGGGGGGGGGGGGCCGGGTTACTCCAAAACACACACATAAACAAAAATGAAAGGGGTGGGGTTAACCCCCACCCCCCCCCCCCCCTGCGTACGCGCCTGATGTAATTCTTTTAAATTATTTTATCCAGTCCTGTATTTTCAAATGCCAAAAATCTGTTCATCCTAGATTTATTGGGCTGCCTGGACTAATTAGATATCATCATTATGTACGGTATTCACTTTTGATTGGTTTTTAAATTTTTAAGTTTGGCCGTATTAATAATATACTGCCTGTGTAATTTGAGCCGAAAATTTCGTTTTTATCTGTGACTTTACTGACCTAATCAGCCTTGATAAAATATTAAATTTCATCATGTAATTTATCGCAATATGCAATAATTGTTCCAGAGTGAGCCTTTACAGGGTAACATTCAACCGCCATAGGTGCATCCAAAGTTGTGCAAATGTTTGAGACTATGCCAAAACTGTGCATTATATTTTTGCCACATACATGACTGTGTGACCTTTTTCATCTACACAATCCCTTTATTTCCAAATAAGGATTGATATTTGGTACTTCTTGATTTCCATCTTGATTTGTATGTATTCTGTATATTCTAGTTTGTAAATTGAATATTTTCAGCATAGGGCTACCAATTCAATCAATTATTAATTGCTTACGGTTGATCTGTTGTGCCTAAAATGATCAATGTCGACCATTGACATGCCTAGATGTTGGATGCCGAACTGTAACCATCCTTCGCCAATCTTCCCACATAGCTTGCTTAAAACCTTGTCAGATGTAATTGAAGATCGGCTCAGAGGTCCCGTGTCTTTGCGTGAAGAATTCTTTCCATCTCCTATGATTCCATAAAATTCATGAAAAACGATGAACATAGGATAAAACATGACTTATTTTATTATTATTGGCATAGCTACAGGGAGCATGTGCCCCTAAAATTGAAAAGAAAGAAAAAGCGAGAAAGCAAGTGAAAGGGAGAGAGAGAGAAGAGGGAAACGATGAGAAAAGAAGGCACCTGTAAATTCATATTTAATTCTAGGAGTAACATAGTCTAGTTCTGGACCCTACAACGTTAAGCCGAGTGATGGCGCGATCCTTAGTGATTGCGAGCCCCCACTAACCGCGCGGTTAGTGGGGGTCTCGTTTATAGTCGGCGAATAACAAAAATCAATATAGGGTCCAGAACTACACTAGAAGTAACACCGACCGATGCCCCCAGTAGATCCAGTGCCCTCTCAGTTTGGTATATGGCTGGGCAGTGTAATATCAACCTGCTGAAAATCCTAACAACGCATATTTGTTCAGTACAATTCTGTAAGGCGTGTCCAAATGGTCGTGTCTAAGCTTCGTTTGTGGATCTGTTCAGTCCCAAATTTGATCAGATTCGTACGATAAAATTTAATTTGAATATGTAAGGAGGATCCTCACCAAAACAATCAGTCACCAGATGACCCAGGCTAGCCTCTTCCAGTGCTTGTTGAAGTTGTTGCATTTGGTCTCGCTCAGGCACATTTTTTCGCCAGTGAAACAGCATGTTACTAGTTCCTCCTTGTCGGCGTTGTGTCTCAATCTCCGGATAGGGTATGCCGAGGAAGATGCCGAGACGAAGCACGCAGTCTGGTGGGATGCTGTCCGAGAGATTCGAGATTTCTATGTCTGTGACCTTACCATCAACTGCAGAATGTGAAGTGCCACTTTTGGTTTCATCCTTCTCCAGTATGGTGTTGTAATGAGGTTGGTTAATATTCCCTTAACAGGAAAACATGAGATTTAATCATGCAATCGTTTTAAGCAATGTAGGAGCTTTAATTCATCTATAGATCTAGTAGCCACATAATCGTTAGCAAACAGCAACATTCAAACATAATTTTTTGTTACGAATTAAGCCTTTATCTCTAAAAGTAAAGTAAAGTTGCACCAAAGTGACCAAACGTTTTCATACAACACTTTGACTATCATAATCAAACACAGTTCAATTTTCCAAGTAATTTGATGTAAAGAATTATGATTGTAGCCGCTTAACAAAGCTCTCTATAGCCTTCATCCCATATTAACATGATTGCTCTTCAATTAGGTATTACAGTAATTGATGTTTATCCTAGGTTTCCATACTCGTATTAAACCCTGCCAAATAAAGAGGAAATGTTTAGCAATGAACACACAGCGCTTGTGATGGCTCAATAAGAAGAATAAAAACCTTAAAAGCATGGTTCATGGTTCGAATCAAGTCGGTTCAGTCAGTATTTTGATAAGCCATTAGTCCTCAAGAACAGGTCACTCGGATATTACAAGACTTTAAACATTACACTTATGTTCATTGGTTATACAAGAATAATTTACTCTCTTTTCTTGCAATCGGGACACACTATTCAACACCAAACATCAACATTATCATACCTCCATCCTTAGAATCATAGTCTTGGTAACCCGGAAGCATCTTGATGACATCTCCTCTTCCGATGATTTCTAGGAACTCCACAAACTTCTCATACTGACCCGGATGTACAATCATCTTTTTCTGAAGATTTTGGATGATGTCAGATGCTCTTTTCTTTTCTAGATCGAAAGCACCGACGTGTCCCTGTTCGTGACAAGTGTTTCTGAAGTCCATGAGTCCATCAGGAGTAGATTCGATCTGTCTTGCCACATCGAGCATCAGTTTGGTGTATTCTGGTGGCTTGGCTGGCATTTCGGATGCTAGAGGTAGTTCAAGCTGCCCAGTATCTTTGAAAGGAAAGGAGATATGTTCATTTCATTTGCAGAGATAATAAGTGTCTCATGTTTATACCCAGGGGCGTACGCAGGATTTTTTCAAGGGGGGGGGGGGGGGGGTTTAAAATCTGGCCCAAAATATTTTGAAAATCGCGCCGGCCGAAAAGTCGCTCAGTGGGGGGGGGGGGGGGGGGGGGGGGGGGGGGGTAAGCGGACACTTTTTTTTTTTTTTTTTGTCTCGAAATTTGAAAATTTGAAATTTTTTTCGTGGGGGGGGGGGGGGGGTAAGGTCACTTTACGTTAGCCGTGGGCATAATTTTTTTTTTTTTTTTTTTTAGGGGGGTTTACACACATAAAAATACCAAAGGGGGGGAACCCCCCCCCCCCCCTGGGTACGCCCCTGTTTATACCTCATTCAAGCCGACTCTAAACCGACTCCAAAACATGGCGGTCCTTAGCCATTCTGGTCGATGTTGTTTTTTTGTTTCCATCTGGGCTCAAATTCATTATAGCCTATGTAATTAGCTGACAACTAATGGTGTCGGTCTCTTCGGTGCTATTGGGCTGTGTAACAAACCATTGCCGAGATGAAGCTTCTTGTAATGCCACATTCTAATAATTTCTCCAGTTAAGTTTTTTTTACTGACCCTTCCTAATGTACGTGTTGTACACATCAGTAAAATTAAATTATCTTCACTATTTCAAGAAAGCATTACAAAAAAGTGCCATTATCAAGAATCACACTGAGCCAACTCCAGGATGAAGTTTTCATCAGTGGTAGACATCATTAGAGCTAGAACACACACACTAGCATGATACATTCCCTCAGCAAAATACATTGATTAAACTCATTTTTTGTGTCAAAGTACAAAGTGTAATTATCAGAGGTGAAAATGGGGCACTTCTTACACCTGAATATAGAGGCACTCACCAGAGATGAATAAAGGCACTTATGAGAATGGAAAATGGGCAGTTGTCAATGGAAAATGTGCACCCAAAGGATTTTGTTAGAGGAATTTATCAGAGGTGAAAAAGGGCTTTTATGAAAAGGGGATAGGTCCCTTATTAGAAAGGAAAAGGGGCACGTATCATTGTTAAAAAGGAAATTATCAGAGGTAAAAAGGAACACTTATCTTACCTGAAAAGGAGAGTACTTATGAGAATGAAAGAAGGGCACTTATAATAAAAGAAATGGGGCTTTTATGAGAAGGGGAAATGGCTCTTATTAGTAAGAAAAAGAGGCACGTGTCAAAATAAAAGGGGCACCTATCAGAGGTGAGAACGGGAAGGGCACTTTTACAAAGTAATAGGGGCAAGCGGCACTTTTGGGGTATTTGAAAAAGTGAAGGGGGACTTGTGCCCCCCCCCCCCCCCCCTGAGGGTGCCGCCTCAATACATGCGGTTGTTAACAGGTTTTTGCAATTGTTTACTCACCGGTTGATGATGTTGTTCCTTTGAGTGATCGAACGTTCTAGAAATAACGCAATGACGTTGGACAACAAAATTAAATACATTGAATGGAAATGATAGAGAAAAATTATTAGATTTTTTTATACGTATAGAGGTTAATAATCCAAGAGTTAGATCTCATTCAGTTATCCATTTGGTGCAATGGCGCATATGGTATACAACTGCACTATCTCTATAAAGTCATGAGCTGGGATTAAGAAATAGTCACCTCATGGCCTAGCAAGGTAACATCGCCCCCACCTTGTGGGAGCCGGGGGGGGGGTCTGGGGGGCTGAACCCGACACTTACGGTCAGACTGACAACCTTTTTGTCAATGAGTTACATACTTTGAGGGGTCAAAGCTTATGGGTAAAATTGTGTGACTCAATGTGTGACTATTTCGGAACAGGCTCCCACACCAAAACATAACGACATGAACATTATCATCGAGATCGATGCATATCATTTTAATATTTCAAAGGTTCCAATATTACTTAGGGCTGGGGCACGAGATCCCTCTAATCGAATGACTAAAGCAATTAGCTGAGGCATTAATGATTCTTTCAGATCATTCAACGCAAATATATTAAATATATTTGCGTTGAATGATCTGAATGATCATAGACTATTATAAATTTTATAATAGTCTACTTGTATTAAAAATTTCACAAAATAATGATCATTGATTTATTAACAATTCATGACTGTAATTAGCTGATTCCTATAATGATTATGACAGAGTTAAGATTTAACAACTTGGTTTTGATTTGATAATGATACTGCTCCAATAACTACGCTTTGATTTTTGCCCCTTGAATTATATTGGCTCAACAAGCAAGTCGTTCGTTTTAACATTATTTGTCATTTCCGCGAACCTTGACTTTAAATTTAGTATTATTGCATGAAGTTAATCTCGAGTGTTTACATTCATTCGAGTATCATTTTCTCCAGATATCTTACCTGACATCCACCAAAATCTCTGTTTGTCTCCCTTGCTGATCTGTAAACTTCACCGAGGATTGATTGGGTGGATTGAGGGTGAGTTGTGTATGGAAAACCGGGACCACTCACATATAACTGCCCAACAAAACAGAATTAAGAAACGATTAGACAACTTTTTCACCAAACAATATGGAAGCATTTAAATGGCAATAAGAGACCCCCCCCCCCTCTTTACGTGGATATTTTCCCCAAAACGATTCCTTCCATGCAAGTGTTGGCGAACCCACCCCCATAACTGAACGAGTCTGAGAGCGCTGAGGGGATTTCACGGATTCTCAAACATTCCCGAATAAAAATTTGCTGCCGCCCCCGATTCCAACCCTCGACGGCTTGCCCAAAGTGAGTCTCGAAGGACTAATGCTCTTCCTAATGCTGGAATCTGGTAGGATTATTTCACCCTCCCGCTCTCCGATCCTTCGAATTTTGACACCCCTCATTTCTTACCTTGTATTTCCCTTTATTGTCGCTTCTGTTTCTGTTACGGGATGAATTGCCTCTCCCTTGATGTTTGGAGGTTGCCATTGTATGGCTGCAATAAGTATAATAGAACTTATGTTTAATCAATGATTATGTGAGAGCAGATACGTTTTGTCATGAAGAAATCAACAATTTTCAAGTTACATCACCAACCAGATGAACCTCTTCGGTTATTTAGTGAATACAAAACTTCAGAACACATCTCTCATCACATCTCTCCATTTTGATTTGACACGCTTCGGTAGTTTAAATGGGCAAATTTCATGAAAAGTATTTATTTTTTGGAAAGGGCACTTATTAGCGTTGAAAAGAGTAGTGTAGTGAGCACATTTTTTTTTTGGTCCTCGAAAATTTGAAAATTTGCACCCCCCCCCTTGAGCGCCAGGGGGGGGGGGGGGGGCAACCCCTCAAAAAGGTAAAAATCACGTGTTTTTACAAAATTTTGAAACAAAAACGAGTCATAAACGTGAGTGATTTAGGGATGATAAGTGCAGATGAGTAAAAATCGACATTTTTAATTGTCATAAAAAGTCATTATTATTTTGGGATCGATTCTTTGGATTTGAAACTTCTTCTATAAGTATTGATTGAATAACCGCTTTGAGAGTGGATTCCATATTTTTTAGTGGCGTTACACTCAAAACAGAGATATCCCCACTCTGTCTCCCCAAAAGTGAACTTCAAGGATTGCGTCTAAATTTTAAATTTCCCAGGGTCCAATGGCATGATTGTGATGATATTATTGTCAACGTATCCAACTGTATTGTCACATTTCCTTTGTCTATTTTGGTTTTGTGTTTACAGAGACCGAAGTCCAATTTCACGAGAGTACAAACTACAGCGCCATGTATTACATGTTATATGTTCAGGATATACTTTGCGTTGCGACTTGTTACTATCTAAAAAGCTACCTATCTCTTTCTTCATTCTTTATCCAACATCAACTGGAGACATATGCAATTATATATTGGAATACACAACTGAATTGAAAGGTAATACATTTGTTGTATAATAATCTTTAGTGTTAAACATGTAGCATAATTTTGCAATTCGGAATGAGTTTTGCGTCACAGATATGTGCAGTACACAACTTGCTATTTACAAGATCATGAATTAGTATCAGTTGCTTTTTGTATTTCAAGTACAATACTGATACGAATTTATGAGACTGAAGTACGTAAAAGGAGGAATGATTTCACGGAGGATATTCAGTAGAGTCAGAATTTCTTTTCACGGTAATTATGGGAAATTAATCAAATTATTGGTTAGAATTTTTGGAAACGTCCATTGCTATTGTAAATCGGTACACTGACTTCTATCCGTACCCGTCGGCAGTTTCAGGATAATATCAGTGCCCCCCCCCCCCCCCAATAAAAAACCTCCAGAATTTCACCCGTGCAATATCTAGAGAGGGCGCCATAGCCAATAATGAGTTTATTATTTACATCTTCATCATTTAGCCTTATCAGGTTATTAAGTGCATTCGCATAGTCCTAGTGATCTCATATTTAAAACATTTTTAACTTGCTTATTATTGGCCCGATTTATTTCAAATTTTCGCCATTCTTTTTATCTTATTTTCTGCTTAAATTGCCCTTCAAGGATCTTTTTATTCCATTTCTCCGGCCTCTTCAGTTCAAGTCTTCCTCTTTTTTTTGGGGGGGGGGGGGGGCAATATTATTATTGCATCCCCTTTCTTTTTCATTTTTGCGCCCCCTTCCACTGCTACCCGGGACGCGTGCCCCCCTTTCACTACCTGTAATGGATACGCCTCTCCGTGTTAATACTTCGTAATGATTTGGAATAATTATTGTTAACAAAAAACTAATTTCAAAATAAAGTTAATTGATTTCAAAAACTTTCAATTTCAATTTGAAGGCACATAGTATTCGCACGCGTCCGTTTCTGTGATAAATATTTCGGACAATTTTCCAATGCAATTTTCATTCGTTAAATTGTGACTATTATCTTATCCATATCATTATCGGTTTGAGCTGTACAAGCTAATGCAATGGACATATTACAAATATTTGTATAATATATAATTTT